CCTTCCGAGTAGCCGGAATTACAGGCATGCCCTGCCACGCCTGGCTGATTTTTTGATTTATTGTAGAGATGAGGTCTCACCTGCCCAGGCGGGTCTCGAACCCGCGGGCTCAGGCAATCCACTTACTTCAGCCTACCAAAGGCACAGGATTACAGGCTGAGCCACCGAGCCCGGCTGGCTATAACTTTTAAATGAGCAGCCACTGGTTTATAATTTTGAACTGTGTCTCTTAATGTCAGTGTTACATTTACAAATGATGATTTGAAAAGTATCCAATTGTCAAGATCCAAAAGACAGTACGTTTTCCCTCACAGCACAGCTTGGGAAAATACGCTCATAAATGGTAGGTATCACATGAAATTCAGTTGAAAAACTACTTAAGAGTAAACTGGATAATTTACTACACTTTATACAAAATCTAGAAAATCAGAGTTTAAAATAAGGTACTTATTTAATTTAAGACAACTGATAAGGATTTAAAATAGTACACTATGCCATTTATACGAGGTCAAGATGATGTGTGAAAATTAATCAACATTTTGAGTTCCCTTAAGATTGTCAAATAACTGGTCTGCATTTTCTCTAACTGAATTAAACATTAAGATAGGCTTACCACAAATTTTTGACTACATAAACACAACCTCAATCTTATCAATAAATGAGGCAAAAATGAAGTTATTTTCTCTGATAGGAATTATGACATTATACTTTAAAATCTGAAAAAAGCAGATTACATTGACTCAACAATGGTAGAGACTTGCTGTGAAATTTGAGGAAAGTTACAATCTGATCAACAAGATATTTAGAAAAATAGAGTAATAAAAGGAAAATTTTAAAATGTTCACCTTCAATTTATCTCATAGGTCACTGTTATACATCTAATAAGATAATTAAAAACACGCAAGCAGCTGGTACTACAGCTAAACAGATTAATGTAATAGTCTGCAGTCGTATGTGCTGGCAAGGGGCTTGCCTCTTTTGGCAGGAGAAGGTCAGCTGCCCTTGGGAAGAGGAGGGAGGGGTGGCCCTGGGCTCTAGTCACTGAGTGAAGCATCTACAGCAACCTGATCCTCGGGAGCTGACGTCTCCTTCATCTCCATCAAGGGTCTCTCAGTTTTAATGGTTAAATAAGGAATAGAGGAAGCTCATGCAATCTGGCAGACAAAACTCTCATTCTCAAAAGTAAATTTTACTGACAATTTTGTTTACCACTGGTCATTGAAAAAGTGCAAGACAGGTCGGGCGCGGTGGTTCAGCCTGTCATTCCAACACTCTGGGAGGCCGAGGTGAGAGGACTGCCTGAACCCAGGGGTTTGAGGCCAGCCTGGGCAACTTGGCGAGACCTCATCTCTACAATAAATCACAAAAACTAGCCAGCATGGTGGCGTATGTCTGTAGTTCCAGTACTTTGAAGGCTGAGGCAGAAGGATTGCCTGAGCCCAGCAAGTCGAGGCCTTGGTGGACGTGAGCGTGCCACTGCACTCCAGCCTGGGCAGCAGAGTGAGACTCCAACTCAAAAAAAGAAAAAGGGAAAAAAAGTGCAAGATACATTTCACAAAATCAATAATGTCTTCTCAATTCTTATAAAATTTCCACTTTAACACGTCATGTGCAAACTGGGAGGCGTACAATCAAAATGTCCAAAACAAGATCTGTTCTATTACTCAAGCATCTGATATGAAGCACACTGGTGTCTTAGGACTTAAATGCAGCTGTACTCTATCTGAATCAATGAAGTATAACCACAAGAAAACACAAATCCTAAGTAAAGCCTCACAGGCTATAAAAAACAAGTCCATGAGCATTAGATACATACATCTATAGAGAGCATTCACTGATTTTAAATTTCAGAACTTTTTGAAAGTTGTGGATGTCAAAGTGTCCAACATCCATCTGAGCTTCTGTTAGTAATGAAACATAGTAATGAAGCATTAGTAGGTGTTCAAACCTCTCTATCAAGGTAATCTGGAATCACTGAGGCAGAGAGACTGAGTTGCAAACTGCAAGTTGTTTTTAGCTCCCTTTCTGCTAATGGACAAAAATGTTATTTTCCTATAAGACAGATTTTTTAATCTTCCTTTTGGTATATTGGAGTACTGTAAAAACTTCTACAATACCAAAACTAATGATGATGACACTGACTGGGACATAAAAGCAACTTGTGTTTATTCAGCATTTATGATGGGACATTATCAACCTGAACTCTTCGTGTCCACTGTATTTCATTATCCACACTCAAAGGTGAGGAAACGGATGCTAAGACTTGTCCAAAGTATTCAGAGTATTAGGAGTCAGGCTTTGAACCAAACACACTATGTTTCGGCATTATTTTAAAAAATAAAACCACAGTGACTGTGCCCTCGTGAAACTGAGAATCTGATACCATAAAAATACAAATGATGGAAAGAATATAGATTTGGGTGACCAATTCAAGACTCTATTCAAGAGTTGGCAAAACTTCAGCATATGCTACAGAAGGGGGCTGGAGGGTGAACAAGCAACAAAATTACCACTTGCAAATAGCTGTGGGTAGGGAGCAGGATAAACACTACAGTGTCCATTTTACAGACAAGAAACTAAAGCTAATCTTAATGCTGGACACAAGTACATTATGGCTTGAGTATGCTGGTGCCAGCTCAAGGTCTGAGTTATCAATTGTGCCGAAAGGTGAGGCTTTCTGAGGCTGTTTAAACTACACAAAGGTAGAACTTTACACAAAGGACAGTTTAGGGTTGAAACATTCACACTTTTCCAGTAATCGATTTCTACTTAGTTTAAAAGAGCTAGAAAGGAAACAAAAATAATTCTCATTTTTTAAAAGTAAATTTTATTGACAATTTTGTTTGTAATGTGACTCTGCACCAACTCCTAGTTAACTTTAATACAAATAAATAGGTATCCCAGAGCTGTATACCTCTATGAAGTCTACATTTAACCCAAGTGTCAAATTCACAAGTAGGCTCATTATATTACAAGAGCTATTACCTACTGAGCAGAAAAATACTCATTTCACACCTTAAATACTATAATACTATTTAATAGCAGTGCTGGTCTGCCAACTATTAAAAGCCTGCTCTTACATACTGTACTACCTGATATTTTTATCTTGCCTCTTTAACTACAACAATAAATTAACATCCTAACATTATAACAATGACAGGCATTGATTAAAAATATTTCGTTAACAACATTAGTATTTATTGTGTGAAGTTGCATTTGGAATTCATTTTCAAAATACAATTATCATTCAATAATACTATTTAATCATCAAACTATTCAAGAAAATACACTATAAGATAATACTTGCCTTCACACTAAAACATTTCTCTAAACTTTATATTATGTCCATTATTTACAATTAGCTAAATTACAAATGTGATCATAAATCATAATTCACCAACAAAATTTGCACACAGAAAAGGATCTTCTTTCCTTTGAAAAGGCATGCTTTTTTCTTTTTGACTTGGTAATTTTTATTGTATTTATAACTAATAATGATATTACCATCAGAGATTTCATATATATTATCACATTGGCATTCCTCAGTTACATGCCAAAATCAAAGAGTATTTATATAGCCATCTTTTATATTCACTTTTTTTGGTTATTGTTGTAATCAGCTGTGACATGTTCAGACAGGAGATTCTACCTATTATTTAGTATATCAAATCCAAACTTTAAATTACATGTCAGGACTTAAAGAATGATTTGAAGAATTCCAACATTTAGAAGGTAGGATTAGTATAGTGAAAATATAATGACAAAATATGAGCTTTACTGCTGTGATAATATCCTTCTAGAACACCATGGGACCATAAGCCTTTTGCAGTATCTGTGACACTTGAACGACTGATTATTTATATAGACTCCAACTGGTATAAAATAAAGATGTCAAGTGTTTCAATTACCATCTCATTTCTGAAATTCATTAAAAAACTGTAAACACTTTCTCATTCACCACATTTTTATTAAGTGTTTCCTATATACCAGGCCCTACTCTAGATATAAAAACCCACCTAAACCTGAAGAAACAAATGACAAGGTTCCAATTAAGAATAGAGAATATGCATACAAATAAAAATATAAACTCGCTAAGCACAAATTGCACATTTATTATAGAAATGGAGATAGAGTTTAACATTCAAATGCATTTCCAAGTGTACAATGGGTCTTGCGTATATTTTATAGAGTCTTACACAAAAGCAGAACTAATTAACCATAAGTACAATGTAGTCTGATTAAAGTACTTCAGGAATCTGCATCGACATCTATAATGTTAAAGTGTATTATTAAGGAATCTGTACCGTTTCCTTCCTAAAAGAAAATAATACAGCTCTTACACTACTTGGTTCAATATAAAGATTTTCAAGTATCAGTGAAAATGCCTTAATCTTTCTTCTTCCTAGGCTTCCCTGTTTGTTGTACAAAATTAATAAACATTTACTGAAGCTAAATTCAAGGAATGAAGAGAATATTAACAAGAGCCTAGAAAAAGTACACATTTTCTTAACTAGTATATTCTTTTTAAAAACTCACTAATTGAGATGTGACTGTCCTGTTTGCTGGAGAACCCAAACAAAGTATTAACAAACAGCATTTAATTCAACAATGAATTACATTTTAAACTCTCAGGCACTTCTGAGCAGTATTCTGCTCTAGCAAGAAATTTAAAAGAGAGCCGTTAGTACTGCAACAGATACACTGGAAAGGTAAAAACAAAAATGAATTATAATGAAGCTTAATGTGCATTCATTCCAACTACCCCCACTAAAAGATAACAAAAGATATCTGCAGTAAGCTAATTTACTCAAGAATTTAGGATGCTACATTTTCTGTAACTCATTAAGTCTGCAGAAATCACATATCACAATATTCTTTAAATTTGTCACATTTTTAGAGCACAGATAGTGGTTTCCTTACTACGCCAAGATTAAAATCCTGTATGATTATGTAGCTTATATATTATCTTGAAATATGACGTGTCTGTATTCATCACCTACCTATAGGAATTAAAAGTTCCCTCAGAGTCTAAAGTAGAACTTGTTCTTCTTCCATTTTTATTTGAATCTCCTGAGGGGGGAAAAAAAATTAAACAACACTGAAAAAAATGAAGATAATAGAACTGAATATTTCAGTTGAAAAACTATTGTGTGACAGCTTTATGCAATAATGCAATATATTGGTCAAAAGCATATACCCCCCCCTCCATTACCTTTTGTACTCAAAGAATTTTAGGTTAAAAATTTCATTTTGGTGCCAAACTAGAAACCAACACTATTGCTCCTAAATTGAACAGTCCTACTACCAAAGTAATTACTAACAGAAACAGATGAAGCACAGTACAGACATTCTCTTACTAATGACAGACAAAACTAAAATTTTAAACCATTTCTGCATATGTTCATGTTTATAAACAAAGGCAATCTTCTGTTAGTGACCAAGTCATCCATCCCGACCAGGCAGAGAGCTACCCATGCTCCCTGGGCCCTGGTCCACCCCCTCAAAGAATTCCATGAGTAGAGGGAGAAGCAGAAGCCAACTTGGGCAGGGTGATAAAGAATGCATTTCATTTTAATATGTCTTAAAAACTTTAATATGTCTTAAAAACATTAAAAAAAATGTTTTTTCTGTAAACCTTATGTTTTAACTGTCAAAAGTTCTGCAATTTAAAATGTAAAAAAGAACATCAAAAGGTATTTGTGTCTTCTATAATATCAAACACAGAAAAAAAATTTCAATCAAAAAACTCATATTCATAAAATCAAATTTAGAGCAAATTCAGATATATCAATTTGAAGATTATAAAATAAAAATAAATTTACTAAAAAGGTTAAGAAAAACCACTTACCAATACCCCAATGCTAAATATGTATTCTTATTTCTAAAAAATTTAATTATCTAACTTTAAAAAATACACATCAAAGTACAGTTTTATGAAACCACAGTACACTATTAAATGTATCATTTGATCTTCAAAACAAATAAAAGTACCAGAATCTAAACTTTATACTCCTAATTCCTGTAATGTAACTTTGAGACATCAGGTTATATTCATTTTTTTTATTGCCCAGGTTGATAATTTAATTATTTATCCAATTTTCATTTATATTTTTAATACACTTGAACAATCCAAGGTGCCACTGGAAATCATCACAGTGGTCCTGTTAAGTCAAATAGTAATTACAGAGCTTTCACTTTAAAGATGAGATTATTTTTAATTATTGAGTATAGTGCTTAAGGTACCATACTTATATAATTATGCTACTCATTAGATGGTTACTGAAAGCTGAAATGCAATTTTAATGACAGTCACCTATTTTTCTTTACACATTTTACAGCTGACAGCTGAGCAGAGACCCCAGTTCTCGTCAACAGGCTGCTGAGATGGGTGCCGCTGAAATGGGACCGCTGAGCCAGAGCGCTCAGAAGCTGGGAACGGATGAGTCCACTTATTCAACTGCACAGAGCTAGAGCTTAACTCGGCCCTTTTTCCAAAGTACAATTCCAGGATAAAAACCAAAACATCCTAAAATGGATTACAGCACTTGAAAATGGTGACAGTTTATATTTATACAGAAGAAAAAATTTAAAAAGACTTAAATGTTTAAAATTAATCAAGCTGAATGTAGTCAATGCTTTGAAAACATGAGTGTGGTAAAATTACTCATACAACACACTTCATTTTCTCTTAAAAATTAATAATATTATATATAATAAGCTAAAAAGATTAGTCTCTGCCTTGCAAAACCAATATTTCCTGCAACACACGTTATTTAACAGCTTGCAGGCATTTCCTGTGACACATTCCATAATCAGCATAGAATAAGTACTATATCATATATCTAAATGTGAATCTTCTTTCTCTTAAAACTAAAGATTATGATTCAATTTTTAAAATCTCAACAATAGAATATTTGTTCCTTTAAGCTGATATTTATCAGATCAAATGTAAAACTCTTCAAATAATGAAGACTTTTAATTTTATAAATAACCAGGTTTTATCATAAGGCATTACAAAGGTATTCTTCAGTTTATAACTGCTTCCAAATGAAAATATCATATTAAGGGTAACTTTCAAGATACAAAAAATGGTAATAGAGGAAAAACGCAGTTTTTCTTTCTCCAAAACATACCAAATAAGGAGTACAACTGTTTCACCAACAATATTGGAGAAGAGGTTTCAGAGTTTGCTATGTGGGGAAAAGGCAATAAAGTTTTGAAGCGGGAAAAACGCTTTGTTCCCTCAATCCTCTAGTTGAAATTAATTATAGCAAATGTTTATGAAAACATCTGTTCCTTACAGTTATAAATTCTTAATTTTAGTATGGACGATTACAGACTCTTATTTTGGAAGGAAGCTGTCTGACTACTGAAAGGTTTACAAAAGAACAGACAGAATCTGTAATTCTGGAAAATTGTATATACAATGTGCTACATCCTGTAGAGATTTTCGTTGGTGTGAAACACTTGGAAGGGCTTAAAACTGGTAACGAGGAGAAAATCAAAGACAAACAGAAAGTCTCATCCTCCATTTAAGCTGAAATATGATAAAACGATATGTGTAACGTAAGAAAACCCAAACTAAGAATTCCAAACAAATGTTACTTTACTACTTAATCTAACTTGGAAGTAAGTACAATGAAATAAGTATTAATTTTATCGGGGACTTCAAGTATAATGACAATACAACAACCATGGGAATGTACGTGCAGCGTTCCCCCAAAATAACAACAGAGGGCGCAAGAGAATTTAATATGATCTTTTTAGTTGCTGTTCTGATTCTTGAACGAAGTTGTCAGGTAGCCATAACTGTAACGAGTATGCACAGGTTGCTTTCTGATCTCACACTCACATGCACACATAAACACAGAATTAAAGTATTCCTACACAAAGACCTTTACATGATCAAATGGCTCAAATACCTTCATGTGTCTTGAGATAACAGACTTTCTCTCATTTGCTTTAAAGGTAACTTAACAATAAAATCAATTTTTAGAATACAATTTTCAAGATATTTGAATACCTAATGTAAATGAACCAGTAAAATAATCTGTATATAATTATTTAGTAAATTTTAAATACATGCACAAATTGTATACAATATTTGACATATAAGGTATTATAACTTTGTACAACATATATTTATAGAAACAGTTCATCAAATACTTGTGACTGTAAAAGTCTGAAATTTATACAGCATTCATTTCTCATTAATTTCTAAGCAACTTTGCAAAATGAGTTCATAACATTCATAATTAAAATAAGGTGGCTAATTTGAAAAAAGTATACTGATGGTTACACTGATTTAAATGAGGCATTGTATTTTCCAACAGTAATTTCTACATGTGTATCAAACTTATTAAGCCAATAACATGTAAAACTGTGACTTAAATTTCAATACAGAATGAAACTATCGATTCTTTTACCTTTAACTGCAGTCATGTTTAACTAAGAGCATTTGTAGGTTCTAACTGTGCACTGTTGAAATCATACTAAACAAAGGTTTGCAATAGAGTTCTATAGTATTTTTGTACATTTTAAAACTAGGTTAAGGCGGGCTCGGTGGCTCAGCCTGTAATCCCGCACCTTTGGGAGCCTGAGGTGAGTGGATTGCCTGAGCCCGCAGGTTCGAGACCCGCCTGGGCAGCGAGACCTCATCTCTACAACAAAATCGAAAAATCAGCCGGGTATGGTAGCGCATGCCTGTAATTCTGGCTACTCAGAAGGCTGAGGCAGAAGGATCGCCGGAGCCCAGCAGGTCGAGGCTGCGGTGGCCGAGAGCAGTCACTGCACTCCAGTCTAAGTGACAGAGTGAGACTCCAACTCAAAAACAAACACACACACACACACACACACACACACACACACACACACACACACAAACCCAAAAAACTAGGTTAAGTTAAAAACAGCTAGAATAACACTATGAATAATCACACCTACTCAAATGTGCCTTCAGTTTACATCTGAAAACATCCCGTTTTAAAGTATCATATCGCACTTTATGAAATTCATTACATAATAAAGAAAAGATTTCATCTATGAATTGTTAGAGAATTGTTACCAACTATGTATGATGAACATTTAACGGGGGGGACAGAGGGTGACCTGGTTCAAAATAAGAAAACCAATGCTACGAGTTCAGTCGTGTGAAGACCTAAGAGTGAGGGTGTCTTTCAAGTCAGGGAGCCCCAGTCTCTGGGCCATCAACTGGCACCTGTTAGAAACCCGGCCACATGGCAAAGGTGATCAGCAGGCAAGTGAGTTAAGCTTCATCTGTGGGTAGGGCCTCACCCCATTGCTCGCGTTACCGCCTAAGCTCCGCCTGCGATCCATCAGAGGTTGCATCAGATTCTCATAGGAGAGGGAACCCTACTGTGAAGCGCACATGCAAAGGACAGGGGTTGCACGCTCCTTTTGAGAGTCTAATGCCTGATGATCTGAGGTGGAGCTGAGGCAATGATGCCATATATTTCATTATATATTACAACATAAAAATAATAGAAGTAAACTGCACAATAAATGTGATGCACTTGAATCATCCTGAAACCACCCCCTCATCTGTGGAAAAACTGTCTTCCACAAAACTGGTCCCTGATGCCAAAAAGGTTGGGGACCCCTGTTTCAAACGAATTAGCATATACTACAGAAAGTTTCAGTTAAACTTAATATCTCCTATAAAATAAATGATTTTTAAAAATCTGTGAATAAAGTATATTCATATGTTGACACACATTAAAGGCAAAGAACAATGACTAAGCATCATCCATAAATACAGTGGCTACTAAGAACATCACCTTGGGAATCAGGCAACCATCAGCCTTCCTATGCTAATTATTATTTGAGTTGGGGTCTCACCCTGTCATCCAGGCTGCAGTGCAGTGGCATGATCACAGCTCACTACCACCTCAACCTCCTGGCTTCAAGCGATCTTTCCACCTCAGTTTCCTGAATAGCTGGGACTACAGATATGCACCACCACATGCTGCTATTTTTAAAAACAAATTTTGGAGAGAGAGTATCTTGTTCTTTTGCCCAGGCTGGTGTCAAACTCCTGGGATCAAGCAATC